AAATTTATAGATAAATATGTTGTTATTTCTGTAAGTCTTTACGTTGAATATGATAATGGTGATTAAATACTTTGATACCACTATGTAATAAGAAGTCTCTGTCTAGGTCTGTAAATTAACTTTAGGGTCTTTTTGCAAGATTTCTAATTATTTTAGGGGATATACGTGAAATCAGAAATTACTGATAATAACAATTTGTAAATATAAAATATGTATAAAGTAATTATTATCGTAATTCTGGTATTAATTGTAATTATCACCCTCCACAAAACAATGTAACACCTTCATTAATTTTAGATTGTATACAACGAAATGGGACAATAGTAAGAAGGGCTATTTCATTAAACTCCTTATTAGGGGTGAAAAAATTGTAAATAAATTGATCTAATCTCTATATCAAGAAATCATGCAAAAGGTAACCTAATGTAATATTGCTGTGTGCAATTCTCAATTAAAAATTTGGTAAGCATGTAAATAAGGTTAGTGAAGGAAATTCAAAAGCTTTTTAAATGTTTCTTATTATAAATACAGTAATAAAACAAACTACTACATTCATATTCTTCTATTTTATTTGCAAATTGAAAACATTACAAAATAGAGTAAACATCATCATATTATTATTTACTGATAATCCTAGGTACATGTTTAATAAACTGGTTCAGGTTTCTGAGTGGGTAATAGACCAAATCTCTTTTTAATGATAATTCTTTCACGAGAATACTTGTCTTCTGGGGAAAATCGAGCTAAAAAGAAAATATTATAATGTATGTACCCCAGAAGAAAATGCAAGGTAAATATTTCACCAATAAATCATTAATATTTTAATTATAAATACAATTAAAACGAGACTTACCAGGATGAGCTGAAAATGTAGGGTTCCCATGAGGATCCACCTTCTGAAAATAAACTCAAAACTTAAGTGTATTAACAAAAATGATAAGTACGTACCTTTAATGTGTATGATCGTTTTCCTTCTTCGTCCAAATAGTACATAAGATACATTTTTTCGCCTTTCTTTGAAGAGAAATTTACTGTCAAATTTGTAGGTTATTTTCAGATAACTTTAACAAAATAAATCACAATGGTACTGTTGTTGCCATCTAACAGCGAGAGACCGAATTGAAATCGTACTAATACAAGACACAAACCACTCAAGATGAGCAGTCCACATATACAGGGTGATCAAATAACAAATAGCCATACATATAATACAATTAAATATAATAAGTTGAAAATACGGTTTTGAATTATAATGTACATAAGTTATTTAACACACACTTTAACATCTTTTAGAATGATATTTGTCTTTGTTTTTCTGAAAAATCAAAAACTAGTACAAGAATAAGCTTGTGAAGAGATATAGATGCCAATTGTAGGTGTTAATTTGATTTTGTACCATCTTACAATTCAAAGAAAACAAACGAAAATCACAAATTTGAAATTCGATAGAAATTTTTCATCTAATTATTGCAAGATCTATATCAACTGCAATCCAAATCTTTACCTACTTGAAAGTTGCGCATCTTTGAGCGCCTTTTCACTCGTTTGGTTCGATGTTAATAATAGCATGATAATTTGGCACAGGGTCGCAAGTTTCTACCACGGTACCTCTCATTTAATACATGTTGCCAAAGATAATCTTCCTGTAATATATCAATCAGGATGTTCAAGGATCAATATCACAAAACGCAAAATTAATAACGTTTGCACGTGTTGGTACATACTATTTCGGGTTATAATTTACTTTGCAGATATGTACTCATCATCATCATAAGTCGTCAGTTCTAAGACTGACTGGAATTTTCCCTAAGACTAGAACCATCCCACATCCTTAACTATTTGCGAACAGTAATCTAATCTAGGTCTACCTCTACCCCTCCTAACTCCCGTTTCTACCTCTAATATATATAAATAGTAACCCATCTCGCTCATTTCTTATTCACTTCCATAGAGTCCTCTGTTCTCCTATTTTTTCTAATATCTCTTCATTTCTAACCTTTCTATCCACGTTATCCTCATCATTGGCCTACATGATCACATTTCGAACGCTTCTAACCTTTTCTTTTCCGCCATGCCCACTGTGTCTATCTCTACTGGATCTAAAACTAGAACCTTCAGTAAATTGGGCCATGTACTCCAGTCACTTAACTTTAATACCATCTTACGTAAGTATAACGTTTGTCAAAAGTGTTTTTATAAAAATTTTGTTTCAAACTTATCAGATATTTGCTTGGACCTCCTCAGAGTACGGAAACCCATTCTTTCAACCTTTCAATTGTTCTTAATTATACATATATTTTAGATATAGAATGCTATACTTTTAATAAGATAATTTTAATTGGAGATAGATCTTAGTTAAAAACCAAAATAACTGTACAAGAACCATTCATGTTCCATTTTCCGATAGGTATTGGCTAGATACTATCAACAGACACGAGTCAAGCTCCGCGTATCGTTGGGCAACTTACTTTCAAAAGCGCAAACTTGCGATTATTGCCAATGGGATAATCAGTGAAGCTTGGTGTTTTTATTTTTTCTTGTTAGAAGAATCTACTATGTAGGTACTTGTAAAACTATACCCGCCCCTCGTTTGCCGCCACTGCGCGCGTTAATTGGACTTGCCAGTTTAAGTAATGGCTAGCGAGATCGCCCGGTAATGAAGATTAACTTAAGTGACAGGTCCACCCTCTAGTGATTTATTAACGCTAATACCTCAGTGGCACCACTATTATATATATTCATGTATTTATGATGGTGAAAAAATTATCTACCTCTAAAAAGTTCAAAGGTAAAATATGTGGTAGCACTTCTACATTATACGAGGGTGGATTGATAAGTTTCCGGCCTAACCAAGAGATGACGCCACTAGGCCTACCTTGAGGTGACATTCTATAGTACCATCCTTGGATAGCTTGTAGCTATAGTTTCAGCCCGATCTCCT